GGGCGGGCTCCGCACCCGAGCGCGGTCCCTGCGGCGACCTGCACCCCTGCGGCGATTCTGGGCCATTATTGGCCCCGTGCAAGGAAAGGTCCCCCGGGAGGAGAGGAGGGCGCTCCGGGCTCCCGCGATACTGGGCTCTGGGACCGGTGATCCCATTTATTCGTCAACGCAATCATGCGGGGTGGGGGTGGGGAGGTGGGTATCATCGGCCCATTTCACAGTGGCGGGAACTGAGTCAATTCACTCGCCAAGGGTCTTGCCTCCGGTAGGTCGCAAAGCCGGGATTCAATTCAAGTGCAGGCCTGTAAGCACGAAAGCACTGCTACCCGCTTTCCACACGGCTGCCGCTCACCTTTCCAAGGCTGGGGATAGGGCCTGGGGACACAATCTCCCTTGATCCATTTCCGCCCACCCGTCCATTCTTCAACAGAAGCCAGGCCATCCGCTCGGGAGAGCCGCCTGCACCCTGCACGACCTCGCGGAGTTTCCTACCAAGGCCCAGCACCAGCAGTCCTTGGTTTATAGAAATTCTACTCACGCGATGGACTGTGACACACTCCCAGAGACACACTGGCTCATTGGCACAGTGGTTGAAGACTACTGAGAATTGACCTTTGTCAGACACTGTTCAGTGCACATATCCTGACAAAAATACTGCCAGATACTAATCCCTTTCAACCGATGAGAAAACTGAGGTCTGAGGCACAGAGAAGTTAGGTGACACAGCTAGTACGCAGGGGAGCTCGAATTAGAAGGAATCTATACTCCCAACATCTTAGCTGGGGTGAGGGAGGGAGGTGGCCCTAAGATGGGCATTAAATATATATTAAAAATTTTGGTCTAGGTGTCCACTCCCAGCTCTTTTCTACATTCCTCCTGTGTTACAGGTTATCAGCCTAAACTTCCCTTGAATCTCAGGACCTGGGCATGGTTTAAGTTCCCCAAATGTGAGGAAGTGGTGGGAGGTTTAGGAGGTAAATAGGAAACAGAGCCATCTTTCTGTGGCATTTCCAGGTGACAAAAAAGCTCTGACCATGGTGGGTCTTTTCAGGAGTCCGTTTGGGGGGTGGGGCGCTGTGGCAGCAGCAATGACAGTAGCAGGGGCAAGTTTTATGACTTTTTGAGACCCTGAACTGCCCAAGAGAGCTTAAAGAAAAATGACAAGCCCAAATGTGATCAATACAAACTTTGATGACTGTCCCAGAAGAACCTCTTATTTCCTGTAGCCTGAGGGTTGACATTGCGTATGACTTTTTGAGACCCTGAACTGCCCAAGAGAGCTTAAAGAAAAATGACAAGCCCAAATGCGATCAATACAAACTTTGATGACTGTCCCAGAAGAACCTCTTATTTCCTGTAGCCTGAGGGTTGACATTGCGAAAGTCAGGTGCAGAGTCTAATGCTGCAGGTAGTAGAATTACAATATAAATTTAATTTGCAGCCTACACTGAGGGCATTGATTGGGAAAGAATGAAGCCTGGGAATGCAGGTGGATTTGAATGGATCCAAGTACCACTGCCCTCTGAAATTCTGCTGAGTCTCCACAGACCTCCCACCATTGTCCAATAAGACTGGTACAGTCTAGCTTGAAGAGCCTGAAGTAGTCACCTTGCAAAGAGCTGCTGATTCTCCAAACACCCTATCCCTACCTCATGCGTTCCCTCCTAGAACTAGAATCAGATATTAACGTGCCCCAAGACGACATACACAAGATCTGGTCAAGAGGAGATAGTTTACACAATAAAAGAATTGCAAGATTTCACTAATTTTTATCAACAGACATCCAGGAAATATGCATGGAAGTGATTCTAAAGAAGACATGAAGGAAGTCAATGTGCTAGCTCCAGCAGCTGGGAATGGCTCTAACAGTTTGCCCAATTGGTTTATTACAACCTGAGCTCACACGGCCCACATTAAATCAAATCGTAATGCCAAGTGATGCAGATGAAGAAATCAAAAATACTTAGGGAGTCTGGAATTTGGAGCATTAATGATACGCAAACTATTCACTCACTTCCTCACCATGCGCCCCCCCAACCCCCAACCCCCTCCTTCAGTGGCTTGTACAGAACCAGTGGCTAACAATTAAGCTGTATGTTCAGAGATTTGGAAGGAATGCGATCAGAGGGTTGATGATAAGGAGGTCTAGGGGAAAAGATGTGGGTGAACACGTAGAATGGACAGAGTGTGAGCACATTGGGTTCCCTTGTGAATGTTCACCAAAGGCACATACTTCTGAGGAGGCTTTTGAGAGGAAGGTGAGCATGGAGACTTCTGTCAATCTTTTCCCTACTTACCCTAGTGCTCGTTCAAAACAAAGAGGCTATGGCAGCAGGAATGGAGGGTATGTGTGAGTTTATCAACATGGACTTCTTGTCATGACTGATCTGGCTGCTGAGTGCCCAAGGTGCTGACAGCAGAGACCAATGCTGAGTCCCGGGTGCACCACACTCCAAGGGAGACCAGTCAGTTACTTGGGGGCAGACTGGTTACATGGGAGCCTTCCATCATGGAGGGGACAGGCAATTTTCCCTCTTTGGAGTAAAATACTCCGAAAGCCTCGTTCACCTCATGGTATCCTCACTGAGGAACCCATTTTATAGAAAAAGAAGTGAGGCAGTACATTGACTACCATAGGACTCAATGGTTTTATTGTGAACCTCATCACCCCAAAGCAGCTGGCCTTAGGGGACAGTTGGATGGAGTATTGAAGACTGTTATAGCTGCAGGTAGAAGATAACACTTAGCAAGTTGCGTGGACTGTCCTTCAGGTGCAGTATATGCTCTAAACTAGGCTGCTGTTTCTTCCTGGCCAGAATATATGAACCCAGGAAACACAGTAGAAGTAGAAGGTTGTTGCCCACAATTAGACCTAATCACGCACTTGCAAAATAAGTACTTCCTACTTCTGGGTCCTTGGGCTCTGTTTCCACCAGGGGATACGTAGTTCCTTGAGGGGGAACTTGAAACCACATCTGGACATTGCAAGTTCTTTATGCCATCAAGTCATCAAGAAAATAAGGGGATTACTGAATTGGTTGGTGTGATTGATACTACTTACCAAGGAGAAATAATGTTGCAGCTACACAATGCAGTCAGGGAACAGCATGTCTTCAATCTAAAGATTCTTCGTGGTAATTCCATGTTCAGTGATAAATGTTAAGGAAGTCTACCTCTGTCCAACACAGGCAGGACTTCTAAGGGCTCAGAACCTTCAGGATTAAAGGTTTGTATCACTCTACTAGCTGGGACATTTTCTGATGGCAACCAGAACATAAAACAAAGAAGGAACATCACACAGTAATGGGTATAAAGACTTAGGGGACAAGATGAACATGGTTTCATTTAAAGGAGGGAATGGTTAAATTCAGCAAGAATGTAGTTTTATTGTTTGCTTCAAAAATTTATAGAAGGAGTGGACTGTACTAGATATATTTTTAGTTCCCATTCCTGCCCGTTCTATGTCTCTTCATCTCCTGAATTGTAATGTATGGAAGGTTAAAACCGCATTTTCCAGATTTCTGTGGAGTTAAAGTTCTGAATATAATTTGGGGTCTGCCAATGATGAGTAGTGGTACAGGATTTGGGAGATGGAAGGGAGGATAAAGCCATCCTTCTGTGACAGGACAAGCCGACGAGCAAGCTCCCATACTCAGGGACATTTGCAGGAGCTGGACTCCAGTTTCTGTTGTCAATTTTCCAAGGGTGTAGGGCATCTGTGGTGGCTGCAGTGGAAGAAGCCGTGGCAATGGTAGGGTCCTGCATTTTGGATGGCATCTACAGTGGAAGTCTCCTGGTTTCCATTCTGCAGTCCTTTCAACAATTGTTTAAGTATTAATTTCCTACTATATCTTTCTGCTCAACATACGTACAGTGGTTTCTGTACTGGTTTCTGTAGTGTTCTTACACTGAACACTAAATAATACATCAAACCTCCCTGAAAATGGAACCTACACCAAAGGAGTCAGAAAATGAAGATTAAGAATCAGGTCCTTGTTTATGCCCCGGATCAAGCCTCACCTGAAGCCAAACCCACTGTGGACTATTCAGTCATACAAGCTCCCCCCTTCTTTTTCTTTCCCCTACAAACCAGTTTGTGTTTGATTTTCTGTTTGTTACATCAAAAGCTTCCTAACTGATCTGATATTGTAAAAAACACTTATAGGAAAAAATCTCTTCATCCATTAATTTGTTTAATAAATATTTACTTGTGTTCCTACCATGTGCAGCATTATGCTGGAAATGTAATGATAACCAAAAGTGACACTGTGTCCTTAAAGTTTTTGTCTAGAAATGAATTTCTAAAGGATGGAGTGTTTGTAGAAAGGGAAACAACCGGTGTTTGGAGGAGTGTATAGATAGATACACTAACATCCACCTCCAACTTAGTGAGACTTTTCTACTCTGTTCGGGTTCTCTTTCCCTGTGCTGCAGTTTGGAAATTGTTTACAGGTAGCAGGCTGGGCAACTGTAGGGCTCACCTCATTCGTTTACCTCTCAGAAATCCCAGCATTGTTCTGCCTGTTGTCTAATGTCCAAAAGCGATTATTTTATATATGTTTTGCCCAGTTTTCTAGTTGTTATGGTGGGAGGGTAGTTCCCATAATAGATAATCCTTCATAGCCAGTCATGGAAGTTTCTCACTTTTATTTTAATCTGTATTCTCCTAACCACTGTATTCCTCATTACACGTTTATTTGCCATTTGGATGTCTTCTTTTGTAAATTGTCTACATTCTTTATGCTTCTTTTCCTATTAGGTTATATTTTCTTTCACCTATTGATTTTAATTGTTCTTCATGTACTCAAGACTTTAGCCTTTTATTTAATATCTTCTCCCAATTTCTGTCATGCCGCTTCCCCCCCCCCTTTTTTTTGTTTCCACTTCTTTCTTTATTTTTTACTCTTAATATTTTGTCTGAGTTTTAATTCAGATTTTTTTGTCCCATACTGAAAAACAGAAAAGCATTGGAAGAGCCAAAAAAAAAGTGCTATAAAGGCTGCCTGGAGTGTGTGATCAGTTTAAATCTCTCCAAAGGATGTCTTTGACCTACACGTGCTATATCTTCAGAGTTACCCAGTGGAGAGGCACCTCAGGTGAGAGGAGCACATGATCCTGAGCCAGTGGAGGATTCTTCTGCTAGTTAATGCATTCTGAGAGGCGAGCTGGTGAGAGCAATTGCATACAACTAGCTTAGCTCACACAAGACCTTGACACTCTTAGGAAACTGAAGAGAAACTATTGGTTACAATAGAATCTGAGCAGCCAAGGCTTTGGCCATATAGACATTAAAATGTTCATGAATACTTACTGCCTGCAGATCATATATTTCCTTAAAGATTTGCTTTTTTGTTTGTTTTGTTTTGTTTTGTTTTTATTGAATCATAATTGATATACATATTTTGGGGATTCAATGTTGACATATGTTGACCAAATCAATAT